TGGGAATCCAGCACCTTTAACCACCATACCACCCGCCTGCCCCAATTTAAACATCTTAATTTAAAATTTTTCTAGGTTAACTTGTTTTTTCGTCTTGGGTTTTTCTCAAATGAAATGCAGGACAATTTCTTCCATTTTAGTTAAAATATGAGAAAATGAACATTTCTCTTAAGATTGTTTTCCCTGTAATTTGTACAATAATTTAAACTTATATTAAAAACTGGGTGGATTTCTTTCCATGTACGTTCAGATTTACCTTATTTCTAGAAGTTCTATTGGGTTACTGGAAAAGTCATGACATATTTTTGCATAGAAAAACATGTCTTAGGGTCAGCACATGGCGTGGCAGTTACTTTGTTGGACCCCCACAACAGCCAACTGCAGTTCAAATCCCAGATCCTGGCTTAAAAATCACTCCAGGTGCCTGAACATGCATGCCCAAAACCCCAGAGGAGAATGGAGAAGAGATCACAGCAGTGTGGCTATCCGGCCATCCCCATGGGTGATTTCTCACTTTCCCTATCTCTGCCTCTCTCTCTCCCCAGTGCACGCACCCCAAGGCACAAACCTCTTAAAAAAAAAAAAAAAAAAGTCATGACTTTCCTGATGACCTAATAGAAAAAGTACATCATGACTTTTCTAATGTAGTACTTTATTATTTATTATTTATTTAACTTTTTCATTTTTTTTTTTTTTTTTTAGTTTTACTATACGGAGTGTGTGCTTGTCAGGTGAAAGAGAAAGAGAGGGAAAATGAGAAATCACCCCATAGGGGGGTGCTATCCTTTCTCCTCTTGGGATTTTGGGCACTCATACACAACACATGTTCTCAGTTTGTTTTTCAGGCTTTCAGGTTTGAAACTCAAACCACACAGTGAGCTATGTGGGATGCAGCTGTCTTAATACCCACACCACCTGATGGCTCAATTTTTTAAAAAATAATTACTTTTCTCTAACTTTATTTTTTTTATTTTAATTTGACCAGAGAGGGGACAGAATGAGAGGGGGGAAGTGAGAAAGCAAGCCTCCAGGTCTGGGATTTGAATCATGGTCAGCAATGTGAGAGTCCAGTGCCCTTAACCACCATGCCACCTGCTGGTCCCCCAATCCTCCCCACAGCGATTTTTGCAACAGAGCATGTGTGCTCACTGGAGACAGAAAGAGACAGAAACAGAAAGTGAGAAATCAGCTCAAGGGGTCATAGCCACGCCCCAGTCCCTTTTCCTTCATTCTCCTCTGGATCTTGGGAATTCATGCATAAGTGCCCAAAGTGAGCTTCAGCTTCCCAGGTTCAGGAATTGAACTCTTTTTTTTTTTTTTTTTGGTGGGTTTTTTCACTATAGGGCGCGTGCGCTTGCCAGACAGACAGAGAGAGACATAGAGACAGAAAGCAAGAAATCACCCCCCGGGGGGATGGCCACGCCACAATCCCTTCTCCATTCTCCTCTCGGGATCTTGGGCACACACACACACACACACACACACACACACACACATGCGCGCGCGCCCAGCGTGAGTTTTGAGCCACCGGGTCCGGGACACGAACCGCGGTTGACTACGTGGGAGTCCAGCGACATAGCCATTACACTAACTGCTGGTTCCCAGGACTTGAACTCTTAATGTAATCATTAGCGATCTGCTGTTCCCGCTGTTATTTTGTATTGTACATATTTTAGCAATCCCATATTAGTAAATGTAGAGGTTATTTAAATACAGTTATCAGCAAAGTTCCAGTAAACATTCTATGTAGACATCTTTATGTCTTGTCTTGATTCCCAGATAATTTCCTGGAAATAGAATAATTTATTAAAAATTATATACATTTCGAATTACAGATTACTCTGCAAAGTTGATGCCACTTCATATTCTTACCAACATGAGAGAAAAGGGCCTTTTCTTTACAGGCTGAATATAGGCACTTGGCATTGTCTTTTTTTGTCAATATGATAGTTCAAAATGTTCTTTTGATTTAGTTTACTTTTTTTTGAGAGAGGTTTTTGCTATAGGGCACGTGCACTCGCCAGAAAGACAGAGAGACAGAATTGAGAATCACCCCCCAGGGGGAATGGCCATGCTGCAGTCCCTTCTCCTCTCGGGATCTTGGGCATAGGCGCGTGCGCACACACATGCACCCGGGTGAGTTTAAGTCACTGGGTCCTAACGGCGGTTGACTACATAGGAGTGCAGTGACATAGCCATTACGCCAACCGCTGGTCCCTGATTTAGTTTACATTCTTTTATTAGTTCCATTGAGTGTCATTTTGCTTTGGATATTTGTAATTTTTAATTATCCTTTATTCATATTTACTTACTTTTAAGGAATTATTTAAATTTATTTATTCATTTTAATTTGTCCAGAAAGGGACAGACAGAGTGAGTGGGGGATGGGGGGGGTGGGCAAGAGGGAAAGTGAGAAAGTAAACTGCGGGGTCTGGAACTTGAACTATGGTTGGCCATATGGGAGTCCAGCATCCTTAACCACCACGTCACCTGCTGGCCCCTGTTTATTTATTTTTAAAAGCTCAGTATTACCCTTTTAACTGAAAAATATTATTGTGTCATGGGAAAAGTCATGTATTTTTCAATATTTTTCTATGCAAAATGCATCATGACTTTTTTCTTTTTAACAATTATTTTATTTAACTTTATTTATTTATTTATTTTAATTTGCCCAGAGAGGGACAGAGGAGGTGGGAGTGAGAACGTAAATCACCAGGTGTGCGTCTCAAACCACGGTTGGCCATGTGGGAGTCCAGCATCCCAACCACCATGCCACCTGTCAGCTCCGCATCATGGCTTTTCCCGTGACCCAGTAGATTGCTGGTCATCTAAAGAAGCAGCACAAAATACCTTTTTTTTTTTTTTTTTTTTTTAAAGAGAACATCTTGCTATAGGGTGTGTGCTCACTAGAGAGACAGAGATAGAAAGATGGCAAGACATCACTCCCTGGGGGTGATTTCGCTCCACAATCTCTTCTCTTTCATTCTCCTCCCGGGATTTGGGGCATGCATGCACATGAGCCCATTGTGAATTTCAGTCCTCTGGGAATGGGTCAGCCATGTGGGAGTTCAGCAACATAACTAACTACTAGGCCATCTGCTGGTCCCACGAAATACCTTTTTATGTTGAACTTGAGGTTAGACAAACTAATTCACTCAGTTGGTGTTGCACAACAACTCCTTTTACCTCTTTGTTGCGGAGTCTGCCCCTGTGAGGTTGATAGCATGAAGGAGCAGCCTCAGATGCTTACTGTTTATGGACTGCTGGCTACCAAAGAAAAGGTACTGGCTTTGCAAATTCCTTTTTCTAAACTTACTTTTTTAAGTTACCTGTTTCTTCCATGAGATAGAGAGGCACCCCAATAGGGTTGTTATGCCAGGATCAGTCCCTCAGTCTCAGCTGGCCTGGATTACTGAGGTGCCTGGGCCAAGAGTGCTTAGGGAGGTCCCAGGACCAAAGCTAGGAGCTTTCCTCTGCAGGTCCAGTAGTGTTACAACTGTGCCACCACCTGGCCCTGCCTAAACTCATTAATCTAGAAACAGTTCTCTTTCCATGGGAGAAGTTGGGACAAGGAAATAGGGGTATCCAGGGGAAATCTTCCACATGGAAAAATAAATTGTAACAACTACTTAGTAATCCATATTCAGAAATCACCCTTTCCCAAAGTGCCCAACCATATCGGGCAAATAGTCTGTGATGAGATTAAATTATGGTAGTAGCCAAATAAACATAAAATCCCAGTTAGGATGTATAAGTGAAGATACTCTATTAATTAAATGTCAGCAATAGGGACCAGCAGATGGCGAAATGGTTTTGTCACTGGACTGCCATGTAGTAGACTGTGGTTCAAGTCCTGGACACAGCTGCTCAACTCATGCTGGGTGCGTGTGTGTGCATGACCAAAATCCTGAGAGGAGAATGGACTAGAAGGGATTATAGCATGGCCATTCCCCTTCGTTAATTTCTTGCTTTCTGTCTGTCTCTCCAGCGAGTGTATGCACCTTATACCAAAATTCTCTTGAAAAACAAAAAAAGTCAACATTATCAATGCTCCGAAGTTTTCTTTTTTATTTATTTATTGATTTTTTAGGTTTTTGCTATAGGGTATGTACAGGGCATGTGCTCTAGCTGGAGAGAGACAGGGAGAAGGAAAGTGAGAAATCAGCCCTCAGGGGATGGCGATAGCACACCCTCTTCTCCAGTTTCTTCTCAGGATTTTGGGCACACATGCACACGTACCTGGTGTGATTCTCAAGGTGTCGTGTCCAGGACTCATACCACTAAGTTGGCCATGTGAGATTTGCTTGCCCTTGTTTAATTAGAAAAAAAATTCATAGAGGCTGCATGTGCTCATCAAAGGGAGAGGTGGTGAGTGAGAATGCATCCCCATGGGGGATGGTCATTTTGCAATCTCACCTCCATTTCTTTTGGGATTTTGGATTCATACATTCACATGCCCAGCATGTTTTTCAAGTTGCCAGATCTAGGACTTGAACCACGTGGTCAGTCATGTGGGATTGAGCCACCTTCACCACCACGCCATAAACTAGCCCATTTTCTTTTTTATGGCTTAAATCTAGATACAACCTATTAAGATTGTCAAATCTGTTTCCTAGGACAAATAGTATGAAGTTTTCTGACCTATTTTCTGGATTCTGCTTGGTAAATGTATAAAGAATTTATCCCATTAGAAACTGAGTTATTAGCTTTACAGTATTAAAACATGAATGATGTATTTGTTTCTCTTTTTGTATTATTGTTAATGAAAGGATTGGCCTGTTTAGTTCAGTGTAAGTGAACTTAATAGTTTCTGCTTCATGATCTGGACACTGAAGACCAGTTTGAATCTCTGTAGCTCATCTTTTTGCTAGGAATTTAAGTCTTAGAATTTTGGATTTATGTTGAATGATAATTACACTGATTTCTTGAAGATGGTATAATAGTTTTGTTAAGATATATTCAAAAAAGCAGTTGTGAAAATAACTCTATGTGTTTTCTTTAGAGCTCAGTTCCCCAAAAATTATAAAAGCAGGAAAACTGAAGACAAAGAAATCCAATAAGGTATGTCTTTACACGAAATAGTTATTAACTATTTTGATTTTTTTTTGTTAGAAACTCTTTTTAGATTACTACTATAATGTTTGCCAATTCTATTATTGATATTGGTTTAAAGTTAATATTCCAGGGAATTGTGGGTTTTATTCACATTTCCATATGCCTTAGCTATCATACATGTCTCAATGTAGTTAATATCATTAAATCATGTTAAAGTTTGATCATAAGGGAATAGCAGATGGCATAATGGTTACATAGCTGGACTCCCACTTAGTCAACTACAGTTTGAGTCCTAAACCTGGCAACTTCAAACTTCCTCTGGGCATGTGTGCATGCGTGCCCAAAATCCCAAGAGAAGAATGGAAGAGAAGGGAATGCGGTGTGGCCATCCCCTCTGGGGGGTGATTTCTCGCTTTCTGTCTCTCTGTCTCTCTCTGTCTCTGTGGTGAGCACAGGCACCCTATAGCAAAAATCTGGAAAAAAAAATTAAAAAAGAAATTTGATCATAAGATCCATTGTTCTGAAGTGTTTTTTTTTTTTTGGCTTGGAAAACATAGATTAATTTGGCAAATGACTGCAAACCTTTGGATTTTAAAAATTACTGTTACTTTTAGAAATTATTTTATTTAAAATTTCTAAGACTAATTTGCAGATATAACACTTATTTATTATTTTCTTAGGCTAGTGATTTCAGCGATATGGCAAATTGGCCAACACCAAGTGAATTAGTGAACACTGGAGTGAGTATTATTTTAAGGCTCTTTTTTCCCCCCCCAAAGGGAAATGTTTCATTTCAGTATACAGAGTTTATTTTACTTAAAAATCTAAGTAATTGTTGCCTTAGGGGACAGATTTAAAGACTTCATCAAGATTTCTGTTTAATTTGTAGTTACCCTTTGACACCGTCAGTTATATTGATAATGCACTTGTTGGCTTACACTTTACCCATGGGACTATATATTATTCCTTATATAAAAATCAGACCTGGGGGTGGTGTGGAGGGAATGGTGGTGGTGCTTATGCTAAGGAGAAAATGCCTTCCCTTCCATGGGGAATGGTCATGGCACAATCCCTTCTCCATTTCTCTTTTCAGGATTTTGGGCATGCACACACACACACACTGGGGTGTTTTCCAGTCTGTTGTGCCTGGCACTTGAACTCCGCAGCCAGCCATGTGAGATCTAGCTCACTAATCACCACACCACAGACAGGCCTGAATTTTCTTTGTTTTGTTTTGGTCTTTGGGTTTTTTGTTTTTTGTTTTTTTTTTCTAGTTTGGGCTATAGGATGCGTGTTCTCTACAGAGAGAGACAGGGAAAATGAAACATTTCCTGCTGCAAAACACGCTGCAAATCCCTTCTTCTCTAGTTAGTTTTCAGGGTTTTGGGCATGTCAGCACATGCACCTGGTATGACTTTCTATTTTTTAAAAAAATTACTTAATTTTATTCATTGTCATTATTATTATTATTACTATTATTATTATTGTTTTGAAGTTGACCAGAGAGAGACAGAGAGAAAGAAGCAAAGTGAGAAAGCAAGCTGCCTGGTCTGGGACTTGAACCATGGTCAGCCATGTGGGAGTCCGGCTGCCTTAACCACCATGCTACCTGCCAGCCCCCCTGGTATGACTTTCAAGCAGGCAGGTCTGGGACTCAGACCAGACCATGCAGTACACTCAGTGAGATCCAGTGCCTTAACCTCCATGCCACCTGTTGGCTGAATTTTTAACTGTGAAAAAAACCTCTGAAACAATTGCCTAAAATGTCCTATCAAGGGGCTTTTAAGAGAGAGACAGCGTAATATAGTTACCTAGTTATGTGTTTTCATTTGAGTCTATACCACTTGTTATTTGAAACTTGTGTAGTATTAGTGGTATGTCATTATATATTTAAACAACTGAGGCATAAATGACATATACAATATTCTGTACATACATAAAGTGTACAGTTGGGTAAGTTTTGACCTGTATATATACACGTGTAAAATCATCACTAGAGTCAAGATAATGAACTTAACCCTTGCCCCCCAGAATTTCCTTCTACTCCTTTGTAACACTCCTTGTTCAGTTCACCCCCACCTCCCCAGGCAACTGCTGGTAAGTTTTTGTCATCACAAAATAATTTGAATTTTCTGTGTAGAATCATGCAATAAGTACCCTTTTTTTCCTTGGTTTTCTTTTAGTATAATTATTTTGAGATTAATCTTTGTTCTGTGTCATCAGTATCAGTAGTTTCTTTCTTTTTTTTTTTTTTCCGAATAATGTTCCATTATACAGATATAACAGTTTATTTACTGACCTATTGTTGATGGCCATTTTGGTTGATTCCAGTTTTTGACTATTATATGTTAAACTGCTATATAAATATTCCTCTACAAAATTTCACATGAATCTAGGCTTTTTTTTTTTTTTTTGAGGGGGGTAAATATCTAGGACTAGAATGACTGGATCATGTTGCTTTTGTTTCACTTTTTTTTTTTAAGAGAGATTTTTGCTATAGTGTGCATGCTCTTACCAGAGAGACAGAAGACAGAAAGCGAGAAACCCCCAGAGGGGATGGCCACACCATAAATCCCTTCTCTCTCCTCCTTGGAATCTTGGGCACACACATACACACACTCGTGTATATGAGCCTAGCATGAGTCTTAAGTCGTTGGGTCTGGGACTTAAACCATGGTCGACTGTGTGGAAGTCCAGCAACATAACCATTACACCTTCTGCTGGTCCCTTGTTTCACTTTTAAGAAACTGCTATATTAAATTCCTAGGAGGAGTGTATGAAAATTCTATTTCACATCCTTGCTTTTTTATTATCTTTTTAATTTTAATTTTTCTTTTAGTTTTTTTGCCACAGAGCATGTGCATTCACTGGAGAGAGGGGGGAAAGTGAGAAATCACCTCCTTGGGACAGCAGGTGGCATGGTGGTTAAGGTGCTGGATCTCCCACACGGCCGACCATGGTTCGAGTCCCAGACCTGGTGGCTTGCTTTCTCACTTTCCCTCTCTCTCTCTGTCTCTCTGGTCAAATTTTAAAAAATAAAAATGAATGAGAAATCACCTCCTGGGAGGATGGCCATGCCTCATTTGCTTCTCTGTTCTACTCCTGGGATTTTATGTACTCATGCCTGGTGTGATTTTCAAGCTGCCAGACCCAGGACTCGGACCAAGATCAAGAGCAATTATATGAGAGTTCATCACCTTATCCATCATGCTATCTGCTGGCTCCCCTCACTAACAATGTGATTAGTTAAAACATTTTTTAGTCATTCAAATGAACGGATAATGATATTACAGTGTAGTTTTAAATTGCATTTCTCTGACTAATGCTGAGCATGTTTTCATGTATATATTTGTCATGAATTTATCTTATAAAATTCTTTTTTATTTTTTTTTATTTTTTTTTTGAGAGGTTTTCGCTATAGGGCGCATGCGCTTGCCAGAAAAACGGAGAGACATAGAGACAGAAAGCGAGAAATCACCCCCCAGGAGGGATGGTCACGCCGCAATCCCTTCTCCATTCTCCTCTCGGGATCTTGGGCACGCACGCACACGCATCTGGCATGAGTTTTAAGCCACCGGGTCCAGGACATGAACCGCGGTTAACTACGTGGGAGTCCAGCGACATAGGCATTACGCTAACTGCTGGTTCCCTTATCTTATAAAATTCTAAGAATTATTTTATTTTAGTATTTCCAGAAAGACAGAAAGAGAGAACGAGAGAGAGAAAGCTTCTATGTCTGGGACTTGAACCACCGTTGGCCATGTGGGAATCCAGCACCCTTAACCACTACGCCACCTCGGCCCCCATTAATTTATCTTTTAGATGAAATATCTGATCACTCTTTTTTTTAAAAAAAAAAGTATTTTAATTTTATTATTATTAAATGTTTGCTATAGGACTAAAAAACAGATAGAGGAAGGGAAAGCAAGAAAGCAAGCTGCCTGTCTGGACCTGAACCATGGTCAACCATGTGGGAATCGAGTGCCTTAACCACCATGCCGCCTGCTGGACCCAGTATCTGATCAACTCTTGCCCATTTCTTTAAAAATGGAGTTGGGGCCAGCACATGGCATAGTAGTTACGGTGCTGGATTCCCATATGGGCAACTGCAGTTTGAGTCTCTGATCTGAAGGCTTCCTTTCTCATTTTCCCTCACTCTCTGTCTCTTTGGTGAGTATGCGTGCCCTTTATCAAATTAAAATAAATAAGTAAATAAAAATTAAAATGAATAATTCTTAAAAATGGAGTTGTTTTCTTATTACTAAATATTGGATATAATATGTTTTAGATATGCCTTCTATCAAATAATTAGCATATATCTCCCATTTGCAGCTTGACTTTACATCTGTCTTTTGAAAAGTATTTTTTTATTCGATCAAAGTTATTTATTTTTTTTTGCAATATTTAAACAAGGTATAATGCAATTTTTTTTGGATATGTTAGTGAAATTATTCATGAAAATACTTAATTTAGATAACCTTTTTTGCAGTGTCAGAGTATCATCAGCCAAGGAAATAAGAAACCACAAAATAGGAAAAAAGAAGAGAAAGTTGAAAAGAGAAGTAACAGTGAAAGCAAAGAAAACCGCGAAACAAAATTAGATGGTCCTGGAGAAATCATCAGTGAGGATGAGGCTCAGACAAGTAATCAGCGAAAGAGAGGTGAGTTTGCATCTTCATTTAGATTTTAAGTTTTTGAAGAAAGTTGTAGTAAAGAAGAATGGTATTTAGTCAGTGTGTATTTTGTGTTTCTTTAGGATAAATCATCTTTACTGGTAACTGATTTGCTTTTGCAACATTCTGAACTACTAGGCTTTCCTTTTTGCATTTAAGGTGTATTTGTAAGAAAATGGAATGAAGTTCAGCTTATAGACACAGTTCTTGGAAAGTTATATGATAACTATTCTCTTTTTTCCCTTGTTTTTTAAATAATTATTTTATTCAAATTTATTTATTCACTCATTTTAAATTGACTAGAGAGGGACAGAGAGAGAGAGAGGGAAAGTGAAAAAGCAAGCCACCAGAAAGCCCAGCTCTCCTCAGTGTCCTCCCTCCGCTCCCTGGCAACCACCCTTCCACTTTCTCTCTCTCTCCCTCCCTCCCTCCCTCTCTCTCTTTCTTTCTTTCTTTCTTGAGAGATTTTTATTACAGGGCATGTGTGTTCGTCGGAGAGACAGGCAAAAAGCAAGAAATCACCCCCCAGAACAGAGGGCCATTCTGCAATTCCTTCCCCTCCATTCTCCTCTTAGGATGTTGAGCACGTATGTTTGTGTACCCGGTATGAGTTTTAAGCCACCTGGTCCAGGACTTGAACCATGGTCCACTCTGTAGGAGTCCAGCGACATAACTATTATGCTATCTGCTAGTCCTGATGATTATTCTTTTAAAATCTGCATTGAGTTTGCTTCCTGTTTCTAGAGAGAGCTGAGAAAATGAAATATTTCGTTTTTTCTAAAAGATAAGTGAACAGTTTTAGTCAGGTTTTTCCTTCATAATATTCCTCCATAAAAATTACACTTGAGGGGAACCAGCAGTTAGCGTAATGGCTATGTTGCTGGACTCCCACGTAGTCGACTGTGGTTCGCATCCCAGACTCGGTGGCTTAAAACTCACGCCGGGTGCGTGTGCGTGCATGCCCAATATCCCAAGAGGAGAATGGAGGAGAAGGGATTGCGGCGTGACCATCCCCCCTGGGGGGTGATTTCTTGCTTTCTGTCTGTCTCTCTCTGTCTGACGAACACACGCACCCTATAGCAAAAACTTCTCCAAAAAAAAAAAAAGGAAAAATAATTACACTTGAGGGCCAGCAGATGGTGTAGCCATTACATAGCTGGACTCCCGCATGACCAACCATGATTCAACTCACAGAAGCCAGTCATGAGTGTGTTTGTACCCAAAATCCTGAGAGGAGAAGAGATTGCAGCATGACCATTCCTCCTGGGGAGGGAATTCTTTTTGTCTCTCTTTGTCTCTTCGACAAACACATGTGTCCTAAGGCAAAAATCTCTTCAAAATAAAGAAAGCTATACTTGAAGGAAATAAACTTATCTTCACGTACTTTTCTGAATTTTTCATGTGTCTAGGGACAGGTTATGATTTGTCTGCTTTGTAAAAGCATGCATTCACTCAGTATTCTGAGCATAGGTAAAAGTGAATAAAACTTTAAACTCTCAGGTCAGTGGATGAAGCGACGTGAGCTTCGGAGAGACTGGCAGGAGATGGGTTTGGAGACATTGGCAAGGTGTACAGTATATGGGGTCTTGGTAACATGGAATTAAGATCTTATTTTGAGTGTCCTGGCGGAACACTGAAGCATTTCATCTATAGAGGTAATACGGCATGAGTGGGGACATTTAATGGTACAGTAGTTAACAGCCTCATTTAATTCTGGAACCGTCAATCTACCATATACCGAGCACTTGAATATTTTTCCTTTCTAATAGCCTATCCTAGGCTTAACAGGTGGCATGGAGGTAAAGGCAGTGGTTTCCCACATCGCCAATTCTATGGTTCAAGTCCTGGACCTACCTGATTGAAAATCACGCTAAGCATGTTTGTGCATGCATACTCAAAATCCCAAGAAGGGATTGTGGTGTGGCTTTCTCCCCAGGGGTTGATTTCTCTCTCGCTCTGTCTCTGGCAAGGGCATGTTCCCTATAGCAACAACTTGAGAGAAAAAAAAAAGAATTTAATTCGTATCTGCAGGGTTTATTAGGCTCACTTGTTACAGTGATTAAAAGCTAATTGCTCAAAAGTAGTGACTGAAGGATAATCAAGTGGCTATTTGAAAATTTTCTCTCTACACCTTCCCTTATTTTCTGTTCTTCCCCCCACCCCCTCCAGATTTTTACCATAGGGCGCCTGTACTTACCAGAAAGAAGACACAGGGAGAGAAAGTGAGAAAAATCATCCTCCAGGGTAGAGGGCCATGCCACAGTCACTTCTACATTCTCTCTTCAGGATTTTGGGCATGCATGCCTATACACTTGGCTTCTTCCCCGTCCCCCGCCCCCTCCCCAAACCACCGAGTCTGAGACTCTCAGTCAGCTATGCTGGATCCTGTGCCTTAACCACCACGCCACCTGCTGGCCCAGATATACCCCACTGTCAAGCTTAAGAATCAAGTGTAGGATAGGGATAGTATGTATAGGGACTATATTGAACAACTTATCTCTCAGAATAAAAAAGAAAAGCAAGTATTCTGTTGATTCTTCAGCAAAAATATTTCAATGATATTCTGTCATGGCTTTAAACTGGATTTTTGGAAACACTAATTTGCACAATTTTATCAAGGGCGTTATAGAGAAGGAGAACGGTTCTTTTGATATTTTGCAAATAATCCCTATAAGGACAAATTAAGTCTTTCACTTACTTAATTACAATTCAGAGTGACCTTAGAATTGCAAGACTTCAGTGAAAATTGTGCGTAGCCTTGATTTTTATTTTTATTTATTTATTTTTTTCCCCAAGCTAATAAGCACAAGTGGGTGCCACTCCACTTAGATGATGTAAGACCAGACAGTCAAGAAAGACCTGGATCCCGGAACAGCTCAAGATGTCAACCTGAAGCAAATAAATCAACACATAACAATAGGAGAAATGATACACGAAGTGAGTTATATTAAATGAGAAAGAGCTGAAGAAAGAGCTTATAACTTTAGTAACCGTGTGTAGTATAAGCCATTTGAAGTAAGTTAGACGTCCTGCCCTTTTTAATTGTAAATACCTTCAGAGTATATTTCAAAGAACAGGATAACCTTAGCATAGTTAAAAACTGTTAAACAGAACATTAATGTGACTGTCTGCAGGCAAACCTTCCCCACCAGTATCCTTTTTAGTTGTTTTGTTTGTTTATTTTCAAGGATCACACTGTGTTTAGTTTTTTCTCTTTACTCTTTATCTGTAATAGTTCTTTTGATTCTGTCTTTCATGATGTTAATTTTTTTAAAGTGTACACAGAATAATTATGTTGTAGATATTCCTTATTTCTGATGTTTCCTTACTACTGCATTTGGATCATTAATTTTGGGCAGTAATAGTACAAAAAAGATTTACGTTTTCTCAGTGCATCACATAGGAATGTGCATGAACTTCATTCGTTCCATTATTTATGATAAGTTAGATGACATGGTTGAGGTGTGGTATACTTTTTTCTTTTAAATTACTATTGTAAGACTATTATTTCCCCCTTTTTAAAGTTGATTTACTTCTTCCATGAGTGAGACAGATTGAGAGACAGATACCCACAATAGGATCTTTTTTTTTTTTTTTTTGAGAGGTTTTTGCTATAGGGCGCGTGTGCTCGCCAGCCAGACAGAGAGAGACTTAGAGACAGAAAGCGAGAAATCACCCCCCAGGGGGATGGTCATGCCGCAATCCCTTCTCCTCCATTCTCCTCTTGGGATCTTGGGCATGCATGCACACGTGCCCGGCGTGAGTTTTAAGCCACCGGGTCCAGGACGCGAACCGCAGTCGACTACATGGGAGTCCAGCGACATAGCCATTACGCTAACTGCTGGTTCCCCCCACAATAGGATTTTCATGCCATAATCCACCCCCAGTCTCAGCCAGGCCAGAGCACAGCCTATGTACGTGCTTGGCATGTGCATGGAGGCCTCAGGATGCAAACATGGGACCTGTCCATGTGGGTCTATCATTTAAAAATGTTGCATTACTGCTGAAAAACATTGGCCCCCTTTTTCCCCCTCTTTAGTTATTACATGTTGTGTAAGGTGCTTTGAGACAGTGGAAATCATAATTTCATCAGACTCTGCACACAAGCTTTGACTCCTATTGATGGTTCATTCTTACCTGATTCAGTTATAACTATAATGGCTGCAAATGCTGATTGTTTTTTCCTTACTTCTTCTGTATTTATTAGTTAGCATCCTTTTTATTTATTAATTTATTTTTGGTAATTTTTGCCAGAGCATGTGTGCATGCTTACCAGAGACAGAAAGCGAGAAAGCACCCATCAATGGACAATGGTCATATCAGGATCCATTTTTCTCCAGCTCTCCCTTTTTTCCAGGTTTTTGGTACCCATGCACATATGCTGGTGTGTTTCTCAAGCCGCCAGGTCCAGGACTTGAACTGTGTAGAGCTAGCCACGTTAGTCACCATGTTACAGGCTGGCCAATTCTTTTTTTTTAAGAGGTTTTTGCTGTAGGGCATGTGTGCTTGCCAGGAAGACAGAGAGAGACAGCGAGGCAGAAAGCGAGAAATCACCCCCCAGAGGGGATGGCCATGCCGCAATCACTTCTCCACTCTCCTCTTGGGATCTTGGACACACATGCACATGCACCAGACGTGAGTTTCACAGTCTGGGCCTGGGACTCGACCCACCGTTAACTACATGGTAGCCCAGCAACATAGCCATTAGGCCAACTGCTGGTCCCAAGGCTGACCCATTCTTCTATAGTGAATAACTTCTCGTTATTTTCAGTGTGGGCTTAATAGCTTCTTATTTACTCAATGGGTCTAATTTGTTACTATGACTGTTTACTTTGATGTTCAGTAGTCCCAGATTTGGCTAATGGGAGAGCCTCTCCTGAGGTCTGAGTCTTTTTATTATTTTTTTCCCTGTCATTGTGAGAAATCGTGTGTTCTCATAGGGTGAGGCAGGAAGGGAGGATGCAGGGCAGGAGAAAGAAGAAGCATCCCTCATGGAGCATGGTCACATTGGCCTTTTCATTTCTCTATCCTCTCAGGGTTTTGGTCACCAATGCATACCTGAAGTGTCTTTCAATCCAGTAGGCTAGGATTTGAACTGCGATTGGCCTTGTGGATTCTGACCTTCAGTGCACTGAGCTTAACTACTGCACTGTGGGGCCAACCCCTCTGTGTCTTTTTAAAAACCAGTGTTTTGATATATTAGGTGATCAGGCTTGTCGTGACATGTTTCCTATGTTTTTCTATGCAATGTGTGATGACTTTCCCAAAGACCCAATAAATAATACGTGAGTGCACTGATGTCACTTTAATGAACACCAACAGTAATCCGCTTTACGTCACCGTATAATAGATTTGCTTTTCCAGAATTTCATGTAAGTGGGGCTCTCCGGTACACATGATTACTCTTGTGTCCTTTCAGCTCCATGTTCTTCAGGTTTGTCCATGTAGTTTCTTGTACTGTTCGTTCCTACTTTTTTTTTTTTTTTTTAGAGTTTCTTGTCTTGGGGCATGTGTGCTCACCAGAGAGAGAAAGAGATAGAGAGAGAGAGAGAGAGAGATCACTTCCTGGGGGGATGGCCATGCCGTAGTTGGTCCTTTCTCTTCCATTTTCCTCCTGGGATCTGTTTTTTTTTTCTTTTTTTTTTTTAAGATTTGCTTATTTATTTTATTTGTTGTTGTTACTTTAATTTGACCAGAGAGAGTGGGGGGGGGGATGAGAAAGCAAGCAGCCAAGTCCAGGACTTGAACTACTGGGGTCATGAGTCTAGTACCCCAGATCCACGGCACCTGCCATCCCCTCCTCCTGGGATCTTTGGCTCACATGTACATGTGCCCGGTGTGAGTTTCAAGCCACTGGGTCTGGGAGTCCAGCAATGGAACCGGTACTCTATCTGTTGGCCCCAATATCTACCTTTTTATTGCCAGGTAGTGTTCCGTTGGATGAGTATATTCCTTCATCTATTCATCAGTTGATGGATTACTGACTTCTAGTTTTTGGCTACTATAAATATTGTTGCCATAAACATTCATGTACAAGTTTGTATGGACATGTTTGTTTTTCAAGTGAATGCCTGTGAATGTATTGCTAGGTCATACAGATATATATATATACACATACATATACATATATATATACACACACACATACATACATACATACACACACACATATATATGTGAACATTCTAAGAAACTGCCAGATTACTAGGACCTTTTCACATTCTCATCAGTTTTCTTTCTTTGCTGTTCATTAGGTCATACGTCATATGGAGTCTCTCCTATTTCCAATGAAGCTGATTGCTTTATCTTGGTGTTCTTCATCATGTTTCTTTATCTTCTCTATCTGTAGCTGGTTTTAAGAACTAGAGAGCTGATTGGGGCTGGCAGGTGGTGTGGTGGTCCAGGGCACTGGACTCCCATGGCTGACCATGGTTCACGTCTCAGACCTGGCGGCTTGCTTTCTTACTTTCCCTCTCTCTCTCTCCCTCTCTCCCTCTCTGGTATGTATGTTTGTATGTATGCATAAATAGATAAATAAATCTTAAAGAACTGGAGAGCTGATTAAATTCAGCTTCATATTTTCCGGCAGGAATACCTTGTTGTGTGTATGTTTCCTAGTGTATCTCAGC